TATTTATTTAAAAAGCAATACTCCACTTTTACAGCTGACTACACAATATAGTGCAAGGACCTAGTAACCAGAAACTTTGTGTTGCCACAAAAAGTTTTGTAATTAATCCTTTTGTGACAAAATTTTTCGCAGTTACCCACCTGCGCGCACGAGATTTTAAAAAATGGCTATGGTGCACTTGAAATTCAGGAATTCTTTATATGGGCACTATTTTTTACTGAACCACAATCTGATGAATTTAATATTGAAAATTTATGGACGAAAAACATTAAAAAAAATTAATAAAACCTTTTATAAACTCAAAATAAAATAAAAAATTAACATGAAATTATTAGAATTTTATGGTCACAGTAATTTCAAATGTTATAAAACCTATATATTAAATATGGATTAAATTATGAAAGAATGTTTTAAACTGTGCGCGCAAGTTGGAACATGACGAAAAATGTGTCACAAAAAGCGGATTAATTATAAAAATATTTGTGGCAACACAACTTTCTGATGACTGTTTCAGAAGCAGCTATATTATGTAGTCCCTGAAAGGTTGGTAGTAATTGCTTTTAAAATAAAAATATCCCAATTCTTGCAACAGTCACCTATCGAACATCTTATGGGTTTTAAGGTGTATGAGTTCCCTTAAGATATTTCTTCCTCCTTCTTAACATGCCTTTGTAGTGTAGTGGTCAGCACGCTGGACGCGTATTCCAGAGGTCCATGATTTGAGACCCGGCGAGCGTATTGCTCATTTTTCATGTCTCCCGCATAAAAAAAATCCTAATCCCTGTACATTGGCGCCCTAACTGAAAGGGTGGTGGATGATGATTCTCCACCACCAGATTTGACGATTGGGTCCCCTATTCCCCATTCGCCCTTTAAAAGGAGAAGTATATAAGGTATTTCTCCTGCTTTCCTAGCATGCATTCGTAGTGCAGTGGTCAGCACGCTCGGCGCGTATTCGAGAGACCCATGGTTAGAGTCCCGGGGAAAGTGTTGCTCATTTTTCATCTCTCCTGCTTCGAAATAACGTAATGTCTCTACAAAATTAGCTGTATAAAATTATACAAAAATATGTGCTAAAAGTAAATAGTTTTCAATACCAAAAAATATTTGTGTTATCTTGAAGGCCGATGAAGGTCCTATAAAATATCAAATCCACCGTTTTAGTATATTATTATGCCTATTTTACAAATATATTGGTTTTACATTTTTGGCCCAGCACTTTTCATGAACATATGTTTTTTAAAAATGGAATTTTCATCTTAGTGTTAAAACTGACCACCCGTTTTCAAAAATGTACATACATCACTAATTTCAAAAATATATTAAATAAAAATATTTACATGATAACGAAAATTTCGCATTTAAAATCTGCGTTGGTATTTAACCATGAATCTATCTTTATACGTAGAGCAGAATACTGTAGTGCTAGAAATTGGATTGTTTCAAGAATAAAATTGAAACATAAATTCAAGAAAATTCTAAATAGGCTGTTAGCACATGAAATGACTTCAAATTTTTATTTACCCTGTGTATCTATGGGTTATATGAACTTCCCTAAAGAATAATACAGTAAGAACGCCTTATCTCCCATTTAACTGGTTCTGACGTCACAATATATCTTCATTTTAATTTCATGATTGAGAATTGTTTGCTTGTTGTTTGTTCCAATCAGAAGACAATCAGGGGTATCGGCAAAAATCATCTATTTACTTTCCTAGCGCCACCTTCTGATAAGACACTCGATCTTTACGATTTGATAGAAAAGCAATGGAAGGTTCGGAAGATGGTTGCAAAAAAGTAAGTCTTTTCTCCTGCTTTTCATTTAAACTATATTAATAGTTTTTTTTTTTTTTTTTCAAAGCATTTTTTTTTAAATTTATTTATTGTATTTTTAAGATTGCTTCGTTTAAAACAGAGTTAATAATCTAAAAATACATCTCTGCTAGTTCAGAGGGGTGGGAGATTCTCGGATCCCCCCCGGGGATCTTCTTCCTCAAAATTAGGGGTGGAAAGAAATCCAACCTCTCTCGGAGTAGGCCCTGGCAACAATTTTTCCATATAATATGGAAACGACAACAACAACGTTTTATCTTTCACATCTTAATGCAGGGGTTCTAATTCTAATTAAGCCTTTCTAATTGTTCTTGGTGATTTCAGTGCTTCCATTAATCTTTTCAGCTAATTAATCTTTCCATCAATCCCCATTAGTTCCATTAATCTTACTTTGTTCTTCTACTTTTAATCTTCCTAATTTGTTCTTCAACTTTTAATCCTCCTTAGTCATCCAATCATCAATTATGTATTAAATTAATTCTTAAAAATTCTGGATTTTGTGTAAACTTAATATTATTCTTAACAAGGGCAATTAAATCTACGACTTTTAAATTTGGAGTCAAAGTCACCTAACACTTCTGTGATTAGTCTAAGATCTTCTTCACAGCTTTGCGAAAGATTAATACAAAAGTAGTAAAAATTAATATCTTGAAAATCAGGCACATGAATAATAATCTAAATACGAATCTAAAACGTAAATCATTAGGCACTTACACGTGTTAAATTTTACGTTGATGCATCCAGGAGACTTGAGACAATTTGTTGAGGCGTTTATGGATAGTTCTAAAATTCAACTCTTTACATAAATAGAAGAATTAACTTGACTTATTTAGAGAAGAAATGAAAATATTCCACAATGCAGAAATTTTGCATTCCTTAAAATTAACCATAAGCTCTTCCATGAGTCTCAAACCGGAAATTTTATTTTAGAGAACCTTCAAAATGCGATGTTTGCTCTCTCCCAGCGAAACATAGACTCACTTCTTTTCACTTCTCTTTCTGTTACGGGATTGTATAGCTAAGCTCGTTATATGTGCACGTTGCACCACAAAAGTCACTACCGATTTAATGGAGTAATACAACGGATGACGTTCACGGTTAATCCAGAAATTGGAAAAAACACAGGAAAGAGGAATAACTCCAATTATAATAAACAGAAAAAACAGTGCTAGTAATTTAGCTACATTTTCGAGCACACTAATCTGGTTTAGTTCCGCAAATTAAATCATTTTTAAAACCTAAAAGTGTACTTTGAATATACATTGGACATTGGGCCACTGAGCTGACTTCCAACCTTAGGCGAAATGGCAAGCGGAATAAAGCAGCTCAGTGGAGATATCTACTTAACAGCAGCCTCCACGCACCAAGGTAGGGGCTGACAGTTCAGCGGCATTTGTTTCAAATTTTACATAAAATGTCAGTTAGAATTAGTATACATCTTTTCACATAATTGCATTCGACATTTGATGCGTATACAGAGTAATTTTTAGTATAGAGCTTTCATGGACTATGATAGTTACAGAGTACGAAGTATAAAGACTTGTAGTAACAAAAATCTTTAGCAATATACATAATGGTCATTGTGTACATGATAACAGCTTTCTGTCAATATAATTCAATTGCTATTGTATAATATTTCTTATTTTTACATTATTACATAATATCATAATTAGAAACAAAATATTAATTATTAAAATTAAACCGACTCTAAATTAAAAAATGTACTATTTAAAAATATGTTGAAGTTAAATTTTTACATATAATAATATTACAAACTATTGTACATATTATAAGAAATTATATGGAAAATCAGCATACATATACAATTTAAACTAACTATGATATATACACAAAATAATAAAGTTATTTATAATATGCAAGTTCACAGAATGCACATTTTCATTTGACATTATATTCCATTCGAACCTAAATTTGACATATACAACACCTTATACAAATGAACATTTACATTGACATTGTATATGATTTCGAACTTGAATTTGAAAAATATAATACATAACAAAGTTACAATTTGCAAAGCACAATATAGTCAATCCTTATATATATATATAACATTATACACTTCACAATATATTATTAATGTTTATAATATTACACTGAGTAAATATTGATGATAGTAATAAATACAATTCTGTGTTGCTTACAACTACTAAGTTGTATTTACAGCAGATTTACAAATGTAGGTCATAACAATCAGTTTATATCTTGTTTACATTTAATGGAATGGCAATTAGTATAATATCACTGAAGGAGGAAATGAATAAGAGAATTAGAGATAAGCATATTTAATTGAATCCTTGAATAAGAGTACGTATCAAGATATTATCTTTATCTTTGTCTCAGTAGTCACTGAGAAAGAGTTTAATCTGTACAATTGAATAATTTAAAAAGTTTATTCCTATCGATAATGTTGGAAACAATCTTATTTGTCCAATGAGGTAAAAATTGATCTTGTGGTTCAATAAGATAGTTATTTGTCAGTATGCAATGAAATGCATAATGGTCTGGGGCTCCGGTTGTCCCGCAAGCATAGTTATCATTGTCTTTTAATCCAAATCTATGGAGATAGGATGGATAAGGACAATGTCCAGACAAAAAGGTGGTAATTGCAGATGCTCCCGTTATTAGGCGATTAGTCACTTTTGATATGAATTTAAGTCCTTCGACAAGTGGAGGAAGAAGAGCAGCGTTCTTGCCAGCTAATCATTAGATCGTTCATAGTAAATCTTTTAAGGTACGAGTGAGAAAGAGGAAATTCTGAGAGATCAACTCCCATGGCGGCCTCTTTTGCTTTAGAGTCAGCCAACTCATTCCCCACTTTACCTACATGGGCTGATGTCCATGAGAGAATAGGACAAAGCAGAACAGGAAAACTCAGTAATAATTTCTGGATCTTATAAACCATGGGGTTCTTGGTTTTATTGTTAAGGCTATTAGACCATATGGGAGCCATCCGTGTAGATTTGTATTAGACAATTAATTGTATGAACATTATTGAGGTGGATATTGTAATCAAGGTCATTATTTGCTGGGTGACAGAGATAGTTATGGTCTTTGTGTTCAAAATCCGTAAAATGAAAGGTCTTGCCCCACAAGACTGTTGATGAATGTAGTCGTAAAACATAGGCTATTGTTGCTTCTCTTTCCATAACAAGATCTATTGGAGGTAAACCTGTTAAAACTTGGAGTGCTATTGTGGAAGTAGTCCTATAACCTCTACTTATTTATAGGAAGGAATGGCCTTTTTTAGTGATAGTAGCAGTCTGCTTTCATGAGTAGTAATGGAAGAGGCCATATGCTTGAACAGTATCCTGTCATTTTCTCAATTACTGTGATGTACCAATTTTTCAAAATTTTGGAGGAAACTCCCCACGTGCTTGCTGCCGTTCTCTTCGTGTTTTGGTTTAGGATATTGACTTTATTTTTGATGTATTTAAGGTAAGGGATCCAAGAGAGACGGAAGCTGATTAATAGTCCTAGATATTTAGATACTTTAAATTGCTTATAAATTTGATCGATATGCCCTGAATTTTTATTAACGATTTCTTCCTTATTGGACGTTCAAGCCCTATAAGTAGAGCTTGCGTTCTTGAACAGGAAATGGTGATTTGGTGTTCTCTTGCCCAATTACTTATTGTATCCATTTGCTGTTGTGCTATTGATTGCAATTTTGAGCGGCCTTTGACTACTAATAAAAAGTCCTCCGCAAATGCTATCAAGTCCCAGTAAGCATTGTTATTCAATTTATTCAACAACGAATCTACAACTAAGATCCACAAAATTGGTCCTAGACATGATCCCTGCGGACATTCCCTCTGTAAATGTTTATATATAAGTCCAGAGTCAAGCGTAATTTGAACAACTCTATGACTTAAGTAACTTTGTATTAGTGAAATAAGATCAGAGGGACATTTCATGGTGACCAGAGCATTAATTATGTCCGGTCACCATAATGAGTCGAATGCCCCTTGGATATCAAAGCTAACAACCAGTGAATGCTGTTTATTATCTTTATTTCTGCATACTATTTCCATAAATTTCGATATAGCCAATTCCGTCAATTTGCCTCTCAAAAATCCAAACTGTCATTTATTCAGGATGCCATTTTGTAAGAGGTGATACTGCAATCTTTCTAGTATAATCCTTTCCAATAATTTTCCAAAACCTGAGATTAAACAGATTGGTCTATAAGAAGTTATGAGGTGTGGATTTTTACCAGTCTTGTGAAAAGTGCAACCTCTGCTACTTTAGTGCTTTTCGGGAAGTATTGCATCTTCCAACAAGTTTGCATTAATGTGTGGATCAATCTAGGAGAGATTTCAAAAAGCATCTTAATTATTCTGTTATCTATTCCATCTAGTCCTGGAGCCTTTTTCAAATTTAGATTTTTAACAATTCTACAGATTTCTAATAGTGTTAGTAGATATTCTGAAGGCGAAAAGGAAGGACTGAAGTGAGTAAATGAATTTCTTAATGTCAATTGTGCGATAGAATTTTTTTCACCACTGTCCGATTTAAAAAAGCCAATATACTGTAAAACAAAGTACCGTATACTGTATAATACTACTGTATACTGTATAAAAAAGTAATTGTATACTCTATACAATATACTGTATACTGTATAAAAGTAATTGTATACTCTATAACAATATACTGTATAAAAAGGCCAATATACTCTGAATATACAGGGTGAATCTGAACAAGTGAGCAAAATTTTAGGGGGGGGGGAACTTTATAAGAGCAATATTTGTTATAGAATGTATGGTCGCACCGCAAATGGTGAGGAGTTTAAAGGGCTCTTTTCCCCTGTCAAGTTTAAAGAATTAAAACTAGAGGAGATTATTGAAAGAACATGTTCATAGAAATTACTCCAAAGACTTTCCGCCAGCTGTAAAGCAGGCTTCGCACCTGCGAGATAGGGACTGACGCACATTTTTGAAGAC